AATCCTGTTTGGGACTAAATCATTTATCTCACCACTGTACAGGAAAGCCCATGATAATGGCTCTATTCATCTCACTAGTGACTTCCATGGTGTATGGACATGTTAAGCAACATTAGTCATAGTAAGCAAGGCTACTTGAATGTTTTTATTCTGGAGTACAGGGAAGCTGAACAAGATAAAATTGTGATACAGTCAATTCCTACTACCCTTCTCTAGGAGAACCACCAATCCACCTGTGCTGATGCTCCCCTACACCTCATAGGGCTACTAGCAACACACTATACCCTTATCACACATTAAGTGTTTACACAATAGCATTACTCACAGAAAGTGAAAAAGGGCCTCTTATCCATACCTGTTGTGCTGTTTTTATTGCAAAGAAGTGGTGCTGGCCTTTTCCTCCGCAAATATAGCCAAAGGCACGATTGTCTGTTACATCCCGAGCAATAAAGGAAACAGTGTTTACTGGATGCTCATGCTCTATGACCTAGAATGGGGAGGGGGAAATAGTTTAAATTGCAGGAGACAGAATTTTAACTATAGAGAAGAACAGCTATTAAGAATGTTAGAAGGCTCCAATTCAAGACTCAGATTTCCCAGGCTTTGACTAACCACAATAGGATGTAGCTATCTTTCTGGCAGGAGGCTTCAGCTTTACAACCCATTCCACAAGCCAATTCTTATATGCAGAAGGGGAGCATGATGCTATTAATGAATCTAGTTCAGATTGGCCTAACTGCCAAGGGCTTCACTTACTTAAAAACCACACAACACAAAAAAAACCCCAAAAAACACATTAAAAGAATGAGTCATATCTTACCCCAGTTTTCTCATCTATTATCTTGATACCAGAGAGGGAGATGTTCACCCAGACCTTCTGTTTGTGTTGGCCTTGGGAACGGGCTGCCACTGCCATTCCCTGAAGAGGATTAAAATCAAAGTATTGATGAGACTGCTGTTAGATTGAGGTTTAACTTGTTTCCTTACATTTCTCATGACTGTGACTGTACTAGTGCTAATCTAGTTACTCCCATGCAATTGTACAATTAGATTCTTCTTATAACACATGCTTGACTAGATTAGAAGTGATACCTCAGAACTAGATTGTTTCCTCTGTAAATGCTTAGGAACTTTAAAGCTTCCTATCTTAGTTCACAAGCCTGCTGCAGTAGCAGCATCCTTACTAGCTTTCATGGCCTGACTGAAGTTTGTGAGGGTTCTGCTCTCCAGAAGTAGTCTTTGCTGCTGCAGGGTCTCATTCTTTGGCTTATCTATCTCTTGGTGTCACTATTGCCATAAGGATGCCAACTTATGGTTTGAGTTCTCATGTTAAAATGCACAAAGTTCCCCCCTTCCCCACCCAAAACCCAAGCTCACTATTTGAGATCAAGTTCATGCTATTAGCATCCATACTGAATGCCAAAAAGAGAGACCCAAAGAAGTATTCCCAAGCCATTAGAGAAACACTGCCCTTTGAGTAAGGGGTTACAGCTTTAGAAGCAACATCCATCTAGGATGGTGCCGTTATCACTATATTACCATTAAGCTGTATTTTAAGTTATGCCAAAGTTACAACTTGATCAGCTTTCTGAAGGCTACCCAGATGATGTTCCTTACATGCCAGCTCAAGCTTTTACCTTCAGCTTCATCATTGAATCCTGACTCATTCTGTCACCTCTTGCCTCTGGGACATCATCAATGCCAATGATTTTAGCTTTGTATCTTACACCATCACCTTTGAATCTAGCCAAGAGAGATTCATCTGTCTTTTCTGGCCCTGGAGACAGAGAAAGGTTTGTGGTTGGTTTGATTTTTTTTTTGTTGTTTAAAAAGAGAAATGTCTGTTACAGCTTTGAGAGCTTTTTTTATATCTATAAAATACATCATATTAGTACATATTAAAACTCTCCCTTGAGTATAACTGAACAACCTTAGTCCTTCCAGTAGTGCATGCACTGCAAGATAGTTACTTCTTTAAGGTTACAGGGTTCTTACAGAATCTGACCTCAGTTCAAAGAGTAGAACCTAGTGCTTAATATTTGGGGACTTCAAGAACAATCGTTTGCCACATAAAAGACTAAAATATTTATAGGCAACAGCCAAATAGATATAAGTGCTAAGCAACACCACCAAGCAAAATGGTACTTCCCATGGCCATATAGTATGTTCAATAAACCTTTCAGATGTTAGCCTCTAGTTTTGGCATAGTCAGATCTCTTCTCAGCATGCAAGAATCACCTAGTCCCTGTGCTAGAACGTTTTATCAGCACCATCACTTCTACAAGTCCTGGTACCCCATCCCTATAATCACTTGGTATTTTAGCTATATTTACTATTTCCACTGTTCCTACTACTTCTCAGAACTGCTTGGTTTTCTTTGCATGCTCATACTCAGAGTGTGTGCCTAGGTATATACCTCTGTTTAGGTCATGTAAATGTAGATTTTTTTTTTTTTTTTTTAATAGATTTAGCTAACTTATCTGATCTACAATAGTTCTCATTTCATGAGTTTTCTAGCTTCTTTGGACTAGAATTTGTATCCGAGTCCAGCATGTCACTCCCTCTCTAGGAGGGAGAAGAGGAAATAAGTTCAGGTTCAGACTGACAGCTACCAGGATGGTCCTAACCCTGGTCACCTCCTCAGTAGGCTTTCATTTCTCCAGGCTTTTAGTGACTTGTTAAATGACTCATTTGAGCTTGACAAGTAGAACTGAGAGCTTCAGAACTTAAAGCTAGAAAAAAAACCTTTCAAGCTAAAGCCCATCTTCTGGTTAGATTTTTTTTTTATTAGTTTGTTTACTCACTCTTCCAGTCAGCTTGAAGCCTCAGAATTATTTCAGCTATGGTGTGAGAGTGATCTTAGTTTTAGACAAGTGCAAAAAAATTTAGGAGACTGACTAGAGGAAGCGTTCAAGAGGTAAGTATTCCTTACCTTTCTTTCTTTCCTTCTTTGAAGGCTGTGCTCTCATTGGAGCCTGTTGCTCAGGCTGGATGTTGATAGTAGTTTCAGCTTCAGTAGACATGATGAGATTGTGGCCAGCTATGCTTGCTGTAGTTTTTAAAAAATCCAAGTAACAATCAGTAAGCAGGCATAATAGTCCATCTTGAAGAATAAATGTTCTCATTAGACCTGTTAGTCCATTTTTTTTTTTTCTGCTGAACACTGAAGCCCACTAATGCCCGAAGACATGCTCTCTAGGAGCTGAGCTTTAGGACACTCTGCCCAGCTCCATGCGGGAAAAGAAGAAACAGCAACCTCAAGGCACTGAGTCCTGCCTGTCAGTGATCCTGCTTCCCCAGTTTAGTTGGCAGAGCTACATCCAGCTCTGGTGTTGTACAGCCCTAGTAAGTATCTGACTCTGAAGTAAAGTTAAAGGGCAATAACAAATAACCTAGGAAAGAGCAAATAAACAAGCAAGACCTCACTTTGGCAACTGTAAAGGGGTAGAACTCCAGATGGACAGTTTGCATCTTCACACTCTAGTCATCCCTCCATTGTTGCCATCTACCTCCATCCCATGGAGGACAGACCACTTATTTGCATAGACCCAGCCAGCCACAAAACTCCAAGGTGGGGGAAAATAATGTGGTAGGTTGACCCTGACTAGACACCAGGTGCCTACCAAGCTGCTCTATCACTCCCCCTCCTCAGCTGGGGGGGATAATGAAAGCCTCATGAGTCAAGATAAGGACAGGGAAATCACTCACCAATTACCATCACATGTAAAACAGATTGAACTCAGGGTAATTAGTTAAATTTGTTACTAGAGTAGGGTAATAAGAACTAAAACCAAATGTTAAAACACCTTCCCCCCACCCCTCCCTTCTTCCCAGGCTCAACTTCACTCCCAATTTCTCTACTTCCTCCCCCTGAGTGGTGCAGGGGGACAGGGAATAGGATACTGTGGAGAAGCTCAGACCTGTAAGACAGGGGTATTTGCCAGGGTTTGGCCATTCTCAGTGTTAACAATTCAGTTTGAGAATGTTAATGACAGCTTTCTGGCTAGTTTTACAGGACAAACTCTCCTATCTGAGGTCTGGCACAGCTCATCTCACCTGGTGAGAACTCACAGTACATGACAGTTATTTACCATATCTTTGGAGAACTCAGTATCTTTGAGTCATCTCTCTGGAGCAAGAGAATTAGCTACTAAACTAAGAATGCAAGGATATATAAAGGCTTCCTTAATACAAGTTCATATTTTTAATAACTACTTCTTGACCTCTTAGTTAAGCCACTAGACTAGTACAAAAATCCCCTAAAGCTTTACTTTAAAATTTCACTGGGCAGGGAGCAACATTATGTAGCTTGAGCTAGCAGTAATCTAGTCTACTCGGGGTGTGAGAGAGTCTCAGCCACAACTAAATTTATAGCCTATGCTTTAGACCCCAGTTAAAGCTGTGCTACAGTGCAAGGTATATTTTTGGGCCCCTCACTACAAGAAGGATGTTGAGGTGCTGGAGCGTGTCCAGAGAAGGGCAACCAAGCTGGTGAGGGGTCTGGAGCACAAGTCTTATGAGGAGCAGCTGGGGGAACTGGGGTTGTTTAGTCTGGAGAAGAGGAGGCTGAGAGGAGACCTTATCGCTCTCTACAACTACCTGAAAGGGGGTTGTGGCGACAAGGGTGTTGGCCTCTTCTCCCAAGTAACTAGTGATAGGACAAGAGGAAATGGCCTCAAGTTGCGCCAGGGGAGGTTTAGATTGGATATTAGGAAAAATTTCTTCACCGAGAGGGTGGTCAGGCATTGGAACAGGCTGCCCAGGGAGGTGGTGGAGTCGCCATCTCTGGAGGTGTTCAAAAAACGTGTGGATGTGGCGCTTCAGGACATGGTTTAGGGGACATGGTTGCGCTGGACTAATGGTTGGACTTGATGATCTTGAAGGTCCTTTCCAACCTTAGTGATTCTGTGTGACTATTAGAACAGAGGCCTCAGAAGTAGTCATGACTAGTTTAACATGACAACCTGATATATATTCTTCACGCTATTAGACAGCAAGTACCTGCTTGAAGACAAGTGGTGGAAGAGTTTATAGACAGCTTGGGAAGTGTTCCCCTCCAGTTTATGCCATGTCTGGAATGCAAGAACAGCATCACTTGGCAGAAAATTGACTAAATACAGGCTCTTATTCTGCCAAGTCTAACCCAAGTCCCTGTGGTTAGTCTTGTAAGAGACAACTGAAAAGGATGTTGACCTACCTTACCTGACAAGTGAGGCTAGCTATCATTCCCTCAATCAGTAAGGTCTAGATTAATGATGCCCCACCACCCAGTTTCTCCTGCAGTTCCTTGATAGGAGGGTAACCAAGATCACTGTTTTTGACCCAAGTTAAAAAACCTATTCAGCTGTCCTGTTTAAGCCATAGGTAGTTAGAGACCCAATTTGGGGTTAGGAGATCATTTTCTTGGTATCATGGCCCTGTTTAAGCCAGACACTCAGCCTGTTGGCCAGAATATTTCCAGATTAACAGGATCTTACTTTAAGGAACTGCCCCTACTTCTTTCATGCAGCTTCCTTTAAGCCTGTTTGATGTTCTCTCACCTAGAGGAATATAGATCAATACTTTGCAGGGGTATTAAGGCAGCCTTATGCCAAGGGCTTCCTCTACCAACAGGAATATGCTTTTGGAATAAGCTACAGCTGTACTTATTGGAATATAGGGCACATGGTCCAGCTGTCTTGACCATGTACAGCCAGTAGTGAAAAACAAGGAAGGGTGACATTCATCTACTTCACAGGATAGAAGTGTGGTAATAGACACCTCAGGGAACACGTCCTACATGCTGTTCCCTTCCCCCCAGCATCTGTGATTTATATAGAGATTTTATTACTATAATTAGTTATGTCAGCTACAGTTGTTCACATGTACCATTGCTGGTAGAGGATCATGCCTGTGAACCACTGCCACTGCTATCATTTCAGTCTATTTGCCAACTGCTATTTCATCAGTTGATCAGATGAGTGTTCTCATCAGTGCATGTCTCCTGAACCATTTAGTTTAAAGTTCTATGTTATGTTCTTCCTAAAAACCAAGTTCCCAGAAGTGCTTTCTGCATACTTGAATCACTGGAATTACAGCCAAATGAACACTAAGTTAACAGCTGGAACTGAACAGATTACTCAGTTCAAGTGGTGCAATTGGACCAGTGCTTTTTACCATTGTACTATGTTTTTGAACACATGATTACTGATGAGATGATTAGTTACTTCTCAACCCAGCTACCACAGTAGCTCTTACAGTAGAGCCCCTCCCTTGTCATTGGGATCAATACAGCTGTTGCATCTGCTGGAAGTATAACACGGCAGAGAG